CCCAGGCTCCAGATGTCACAGGCAGCATCGTAACCCTGCTTCTTCAGCACCTGTAGACGCAACACATACACCAAGCTAAGCAGCAGAGCACTGTGCTGTTCACCAAACATGACTGGAGGGAGGGGGGGGGGCGGCTACTAGGACCTCGGGGGCCACGAAGTTGGCAGTGTAGCAGGGGGTCATCAGCAGCCCGTTCTCTGCACGCAGCTGCTTAGCGAAGCCGAAGTCACAGATGCGGATGGACTCGGGATTCCCGGACTCGTCCACATAGAGGATGTTGCTAGGCTTCAGGTCTCTGTGGACCACCTGGACACATGGGGGAAGGGTTTCACAGAGGGGTCCTCCAAGTAGCCGGACAGGGCATTCTGGGAAATGCGGTTCTCTCACCCCCTGTGCATGAAGATACTCCACGGTTTTGGTGATGGTGTGGAGCACAGCACTGGCCTCCTGCTCAGAGAAGAACTTCTGCCGGAGAATCTTGTCAAGCAGCTCTCCTCCTTTCATCAGCTCCGTCACCAAGTACACAGAGCGGCCATCATCATACACCTAGAGAAAGACAGCGCTCTTCAAGTAGCCGGGACCGGCGCCTGTGTGCGGCCATCTCCGGTCAGTGCCGCGGAAGCAGGGACCCAAGCCGAGCCTGCGGGCACTCACATCCTTCAGGGTGATGACGTTGGGGTGCTGTCCGTATCTCAGCAGGATCTCCACCTCCTCTGTGGGGTCCCTCTTGGCTTTGTTGATGATCTGAGAAGGTGCCGTCAGAGAGGCAATGTCAGGGCGCACGGTGACCGTGTTCAGGGCTGAGGGCTTTTCCTGAGCTCTGCTCACCTTCACGGCGTACTCCATCTTGGCGGTCTTGTGGATGCAGCGGTTGCAGATGGAGTAGGACCCCACGCCGATGTCCTCCTTCACGTCGTACATGTCGGTGAACTGCACCGTGTTTCTGTGCAGTCGCTGTAGAGGCGGCGTACATATAAAAAAATTGGAGAATCTTGGAGAATCTCTTGATTCTGCATGCGCAACTGTGTGTCTGTGGGTGTATGCACAGCTCCGTGTGTATGTGACTCTCTCATGCATGACTGTGTCTGACTCTCTGGGTGCATGATTCTGTGCGTGTGACGCTCCGGGTGCGTGTGACGCTCTGGGTGTGACGCTCTGGGTGCGTGTGACGCTCTGGGTGCGTGTGACGCTCCGGGTGCGTGTGACGCTCCGGGTGCGTGATTCTGTGCGTGTGACGCTCTGGGTGCGTGATTCTGTGCGTGTGACGCTGCGGGTGCGTGTGACGCTCCGGGTGCGTGATTCTGTGCGTGTGACGCTCCGGGTGCGTGATTCTGTGCGTGTGACGCTCTGGGTGTCTCTGCATGGCTCTGGGCATGTGCACACATGACTTGTTGGTATACCTGTACAATGGAGGACATGCCCGTGCCGGGCAGCTGCTCTCGCTCGTCCTCGGGGCCGGTGGCCACAAAGCTGAAGCCCCGGAAGAGCTGGTGGGCGTTGGCGCTGGGGGGAAC